AAACGGTCGCGTTTTTGGTAGTGCAACGTATACAGCACCTTGTTCAGAGTAAAGTCAAATTACAAAGTTGCGCAAAGTATAACATACATAAACTTAATTAAACATAAGAACAGATAAGACGTTTAGAGCCTTGTCGGTGACATGGACGCCGCTGTTGGCTTAGAACAGCTATTTGCTGTGCATAGGGACGTGCCCGCGTTAGCCGTGTTGCAACAGCTCAGGATGGATTTCAGACAGCAACAGCCTCAAGAGCTGCTGCACAACCACCGGAGATGTCTTCAGTTGGGCACGTGTAGTTTTGGTCGGCGGGGTCGAGCATCGTACGCATTGCGCACAGAAACCAAGGTGCAGCGTCTCTGTAACATCGCCAACATATCCGGTACGCGGTGGCAGGCTTGCCGAGCACGAAATGAAGGGGGGGTCGCATCTCACCATCAACTAAGCATGCATGTGCTCGGTTGAATGCTCGGTAGCGTGCGAGTTTACCCCTATCAGGATGTTTGTTTGCATATCCCTCCAAGCGAGAGGGCTTGGACCTATGCTGATGTTCGTTCCAAAAAGTAAGCTGAGCACTGATGCTACGGTGAAAGGTATGCACGTAAATTCGCCCGTGCGCCAAACGCCCTGTAACCAGCTTAGACTAATCTCACATTCCATTATGCCACTGCACTTTCCTCTCCAGCCTGGCCCCATTCTGTTGCTCGCAAACGTACTTGGGCACCTTACAATCCAACACCATACGGGCTTTAGAAACGCGGGCAGCTGCTTCACAAGGACCCCCCTATTTAAGCAGCCCCTCGCAGAAATGTGTCCGGTCGTACTTCGCGAATAAACAGACCGTACAAAATGGCCCCAAAGACAGGACCGAATTTTAACGCGCGGATGCGCGCGTGCGATTCGCAAAATGCGCGTGTACAAGTGTATATAAATTTTCTTAGAAGAAACGCTGCGGTGCGAGAGCGCGAATCGCAGGAAGGCATGCTGACCCCAGGCGCACGCGGCATGCAGCCCGGACAATGGGATGCCTGCTTTGCTGTAATTGAAAGCACAGAAAGCAAAAACGAAGCTTGCAAGACTGGGCGCTTGAAACGACCGCGGGAAGAGGAAGCGTTTGGCGAAGCGGCAGTTTGCGCAAGCAAACGGGCGCGGATTCCGTAGCGCAACGCAAACAGCCCTTTGTTCACCGTAGGTCAGATTACAAACTTGCTCGAAAAAACAAAACGAACACAAGCTAAACAACAGAAGACATAAGTCGTTGGCAAACGTGCAAGTAACATGGACGCCGTTGTTGGCTTGGAAGAGCTATTTGCTGCGCATTCGGCCGTGCCTGCCTTAGACGTCTTGCAGCACCTCCGAAAGGACGTCGGCCAGCAGCAAGCTCAAGCGCTGCTGAACATCCACCGGGAATATCTACAGCTGAGCAGGTGTAGTTTTGGACGTCGGGGCCGACCATCTTACGCATTGCGCACTGAAGCCGACGTGCAGCGTCTATGCAGTATCGCCAAAATATCCGGTACGGGAGTGCAGGCTTCCGAACAAGGAAGACCGGAGGTCACATCTTAAGAATCAACCAAGCATGCATGTCCCCTTGCAGATGAAGACACGGCGCGTTTCTGGGCGACAGATGTCGGTCAGCGTTTACGTGGTGAGCCCAGACCAAGGGGCGGCATACTTGTGGTTATGGCGGTGGTATATCGAAGGACCGCTCATCAGGCACCTGCCCACATTAGCCCGCCCCTATTCAGAAACCGATATTGTAAGATGATGCCATTTCCAAAGATGTTGACCGTGGATAGTGGGATGACGAGGACCATTTCAAACGCCAACCATGTCCATATACAGCTACAATGGCTGCGTAACTGTCTGCTGCATAATACCCCAATCGCCAGGTCCGCATGGCGCCGCAGCCGTCCGTGAGGCGAATACACATGATGGCAGCGTGCGTGGCGACGTCAGCGATACCGGTACGACCAACACGTCATCCATGCGTATCGATGAACAACCAACCGTCGTTCGCGTTGGGAATGCCGAGCCATCCAGCAGCACCGGTAAGCGTGTGCCAATGTGAGCATGTGATCCGCGGTCGCATCTCACCATTCAACTAAGCATGCATGTGCTCGGTTGAATGCTCGGTAGCGTGCGAGTTTACCCCTATCAGGATGTTTGTTTGCATATCCCTCCAAGCGAGAGGGCTTGCACCTATGCTGATGTTCGTTCCAAGAAATGAACTGAGGACTGATGCTACGGTGAAAGATTTGCACGTAAATTCGCCCGTGCAATAAAACGCCCTGTAACTCGCTTACGCTAATCTCACATTCCAATATGCCACTGCACTTTCCTCTCCAGCCTGGCCACATTCTCTTCCTCGCAAACGTACTTGGGCACCTTACAATCCAACACCATACGTGCTTTAGAAACGCGGGCAGCTGCTTCACAAGGACCCCCCTATTTCATGCATAGATACATGCATACATACCCGCATGCATACTGCAGGATCGCCATCCTCTTCCTTTTTATTATCCACGTTGTGACATGGTCTATAAACCACTCTTTACAATACGTCTACATACGATCTAACTCCCGGTCTTAGCTACTATACGATGGCCCCCTCTAACAAAAGACGCTGCAACGTTTACGACGACATCAAATAGCAGCGGAGAGGGATTACCTCGGAACCACTGGCAAGCAAAGCAAGCAAGCTACGGAAGGGTGTGCGAACGCAAACATGTCCTCTTCATCGCGCTGCACATATGCACGCACATGCCCCTTACTCGCCTGCCTGCCATGCCATCCACAACCGCTTACCCACTTACCCACATTACCCGCCGTCGGTCTGCTGACCGATAATAGCCACATACTGGGCTCTCGTCACTCCATATTACAATTTCGCCATCTCCATTTGGGCGCACGCACGCACGCACTGCACGGGAAGGTGGGGGTAGGTTAGGATGATGGGAACAATGAGGGGGACGAAGAAGTGCACGGCAGCCGTGACGGGGAGAAGAGTTTGGTACGGAAGGGCATTGAAGGAAACCCACGAGTAAGAGTATATGGAATACGCAATTGCGAAGTTTTGATTTTTTGAAAGCGAGAAACGCATGTGCGCAGAGAATCTAGCAGGAAGGAGTCAAAGGTGGCGGCGGAGCGGCCACAGGGGGCGATGAGAGATGGGTTGGAAAGACGGAGGGAGAGGGGGAAGGAGGGATGAGGTGCAGACATGAAGAAGAAAAAAGGGTTTGGGAATTTTTCAGTTCAGTATTTCCTTGACCGAATAAGGCCGTGCACGTCTTTCCGTGCTGTGCAGTGGAATGTGAATATGTGAACATGTGAATATGTATGAACTGGGTTCAAGCACTCAGCGTGAGGCGCCGTTGATCCGCTAGGTTTGGTTGGATGCTGGTGGTGAGTTGCTTAACCCAACAAATACATTCTGATGCCGGATGGGTGAATGGATTAGGGTGCCCTTTTCGCAGGGGAGAGCAGGGAACTGCCTCGGGAAAGGGGGCCGCTGGTGAAGCTATACCACCCTGTAACACACATACAAACACGTGTTCCTGGACGAGTTCCCGTCAATAGGAGTTGTGTGTCACCATGGCGTGCTCATGCGTTTCCTGTTGGACTGTTGGGAGTTGAGGTTAACCGGCCAAACGGCCGTGAGCGCACCGCGCGTACCCTGCAGGCTTTGTGACTGTTGTGCGGTTGAAGACGAATGTTTTGATGAGTGCCCTGCTTACGCGAGCAAGGCGGCGACCTCGTTTTTCAAGGGCGCAGCATGCGCACCATTATGACCGAGGCGCCGCCCCTGGCATTGGCCAGGCACCTCTCGGAAGTCTGGGAGGTCAGACACGTTGCGCTAAGGTGCTTTGCGCTGAAGCGGACGAGGACGATAATGGCCCCCCCATGAGGGCTCCCCGGCTTTTACGGACACCGCACGTGTATCTTTAAGGTGCTCTAATAATATTGTTGACTTACAACTATGGTAGCCGTAGCGACTACATAGTAGTCTAGCGGAGGCCTTAGGCCGATTCGCTGTCCCTCCGTCCGTCCCTCCGTCCGTCTCTCTATCTGTCCACCACGTCGCCGGTTCAATCCCCAGCGCGCGCGCGTCTTTTTTTTGCGCGCTTTTTTTCTTTTTTTTTCTTCGTATGCTTCATATGCTTCATATGCTTCATATGCTTCGTATGCTTCGTGTGCTTCATATGCTTCATATGCACATATGCGTCTTATGCGATATGCGATATGCAGCGCTAGCAGATGGCAAACTTCAACGTGCAGACTTCAACACACGCACTTCACCATACGTGCATACGCACATATGCTTCGTATGCTTCGTATGCTTCGGACGTGCGCGGAGTGAATGCCGTGCGCGCTTCATACAGCGCCGTTCTTCGCTTGTAAGCTTTGACGATGCTCGCAATTCACCTTGCCACTGTGCCGAAGTACTTTCGAGCTTTTTGCTCTTTCTTTTCGCTTCTTTCATGCGCTTCAATTCCGCGTCGGAATTAATGCCGTACGCGCTTCATACAGCGCCGTCATTCGCTTGTAAGCTTTGACGATCCTCGCAATTCCCCTTGTCACTGTGCCGGAATGTTTTCAAGTTTTTTGCTGTTTCTTTTTGCTTTTTCCGCGTTATTCGCCATTCACAACAGAATGAATGCCGTACGCGCTTCATACAGCGCCGTTCTTCGCTTGTAAGCTTTGACGATGCTCGCAATTCCCCTTGCCACTGTGCCGAATTACTTTCGAGCTTTTTGCTGTTTCTTTTCGCTTCTTTCCGCGCTTCGCCATTCACAACAGAATGAATGCCGTACGCGCTTCATACAGCGCCGTTCTTCGCTTGTAAGCTTTGACGATTCTCGCAATTCCCCTTGTCACTGTGCCGGAATATTTTCAAGTTTTTTGCTCTTTCTTTTTGCTTTTTTCGCGTTCTTCGCCGTTCACAACCTCGTATCCTTAACGGCTTAATTAGTATACGTGCTCGCTTCGCCGGGTCCGCCTTCATGTCGGATCAGTCGCCTGCTTCGAAACGGCTCCGGTTGGGCTCGCTTGCGGACGGCTTCCGCAGTGGTGGAAGAATACGTCCGTTCGCTGATTTGAGTACGGGCCGTGCAGCTGAGCAGCAGCAGCATGCCGCAGCACAGCAGACAGCCATGCAAATAAATTCAGCGGGGCCCGCAGAGGCAGCTGCTGCAGATACACAGCTGGAGGGGCAGCACCAGGGTGCTGATGCTTCTGCTGCAGAAGTACGGGAGAGATGGCGGCGGCAGAAAGCTGCACAGCGTGCGGCAGCCCTTCCTGAACTACGGTTGTTGCAGCGGCAGCAGGACGCTGCACGGCACGCAGCTGCACGTGCTGACCCGGAGGTGAGGGCACAGCAGCGGATGCATGACACAGCACAGCATGCTGCTGCACGGGCTGACCCGGAGGTGAGGGTGCAGCAGCAGTTGCGTGATGCTGCACAGCATGCCGCTGCACGTGCTGATCCGGAGGTGAGGGCGCTCCAGCAGCAGCGGAACACAGCACAGCATGCCGCTGCACGTGCTGATCCGGCGGTGAGGGTGCTCCAGCAGCAGCGGAACACAGCACAGCATGCCGCTGCATGTGCTGATCCGGAGGTGAGGGCGCTCCAGCAGCAGCGGAACACAGCACAGCATGCGGCTGCACGTGCTGATCTGGAGGTGAGGGCGCTCCAGCAGCAGCGGAACACAGCACAGCATGCGGCTGCACGTGCTGACCCGGAGGTGAGGGTGCTCCAGCAGCAGCGGAACACAGCACAGCATGCGGCTGCACGCGCTGACCCGGAGGTAAGGGTGCTTCAGCAGCAGCGGAACACAGCACGGCATGCAGCTGCACGCCAGGTGCAGCAGCAGAATCAGCAGGCCACTCCTAAGGATACCCTCTTGGCTCGCATGCACCGCCTCCTGCGGTTCGCGAACCTTCATGGTGATGACGCCATTGATTTGCCCGAGTTTCTGTTGGCACTTCCAGAGGGCCGCGTGCAGGACCTTCCTGGCGGTCAGTTACCGCCTGACAGGCAGGTACCCCACACCGTGCAGCTGCACTGTGCGTCGACCATGGCTGCTGCCTTGCGCCGGCGCATGCCCTCCCGTGTCTGTGCTGTGTGCTCAGAGGTGTGCTCGGAGGACCAGTCGACGGTGCTGCACTGGATGGAGATTCCCAACGTTGACATTTTACGTGCAGACGTCATGTGTACGGCATCCCGTCGCGCCTTCCGCCGGCGTCCCTGCGCCGCTGGTGCCTCGCCGGGCGCGCGCCGGGAGCGCCCGCCGGGACCGGGAGCGCGCCGTCGGTGCCGGAGTGGCGGCGGCACGGCGCGCCGTGCCGAACGGCGAGCATATGCACATGTGTTTCGATATGCATGCATGCTTCATATGCAAGCATATGCCGCATGCGATGTGCAATCATATGTGATCTGCAAGCATATACGATCTGCAAGCATATACGATCTGCAAGCAGCGCTGCCTTCCTGCTAGTCGCTTTTTCTAGCTTCGTCTTCTACGTGCCCTTCATGTCTTCTTATCCGCGACACATATCTGCGTCTGCATCTGCGCGTTTCCAGATGTTGTGAAACAAGGCGCGGAAAGGCTGCATCTGCGACACAATGCGACAAGCTTTTCTGTACAGTTCAGCTATGGACGTTGCGCGCAATTCAGCTGCTTGACCGAATCACGCAATTGCGCACGTGTGCCGAAGCGCGCGATTCGCACACCTCTAAATGCGCGATTGAACGTGCAATTCAGCATGCAATTCGCCGCGGGATTCAGCGCGCGCTTTGGCGCACAATTCGATGCGCGCTTCAGCGCGTGCTTCGATTCTGCGTCGGAATTATTGTCGTACGCGCTTCGTGTAGCGCCGTTCTTCGGTTGTAAGCTTTGACGATTCTCGCAATTCCGCAAGGCCGAAATATTTTCCAGTTTTTTGCTTTTTCTTTTCGCTTTTTTTTGCGTTCTTCGCCGTTCACGACCTCGTATTGCCTTAACGGCTGGTACAGCGCCGTTCTTCGGTTGTAAGCTTTCACGATTCTCGCAATTCCGCAAGGCCGAAATATTTTCCAATTTTTTGCTTTTTCTTTTCGCTTTTTTTTGCGTTCTTCGCCGTTGACGACCTCGTATCCTTAACGGCTGAATTAGTATACGTGTTCGCTTCGTCGGGTCTGCCTTCATGTCGGATCAGTCGCCTGCTTCGAAACGACTCCGGCTTGGCTCGCTGGCGGACGGCTTCCGTGGAAGAATACGTCCGTTCGCTGATTTGAGTACGGGCCGTGCACCTGAGCAGCAGCAGCATGCCGCAGCACAGCAGACAGCCGTGCGAATAAATTCAGCGGGGCCTGCAGAGGCTGCTGCTGCAGATACGCAGCTGGAGGGGCAGCACCAGGATGCTGATCCTTCTGCTGCAGAAGTACGGGAGAGATGGCGGCGGCAGAAAGCTGCGCAGCGTGCGGCAGCCCTTCCTGAGCTACGGTTGTTGCAGCGGCAGCAGGATGCTGCACGGCACGCAGCTGCACGTGCTGATCCAGAGGTGAGGGTGCAGCAGCAGCTGCGTGATGCTGCACAGCATGCAGCTTCACGTGCTGACCCGGAGGTAAGGGCCCTCCAGCAGCAGCGGAACACAGCACAGCATGCGGCTGCACGTGCTGACCCGGAGGTAAGGGCGCTCCAGCAGCAGCGGAACACAGCACAGCATGCGGCTGCACGTGCTGACCCGGAGGTAAGGGCGCTCCAGCAGCAGCGGAACACAGCACAGCATGCGGCTGCACATGGATATGCCACATGCGATGTGCAATCATATGTGATCTGCAAGCATATGCGATCTGCAATCATATGCGATCTGCAATCATATGCGATCTGCAAGCATATGCGATCTGCAAGCATATGCCAGATGCGATCTGCAAGCATATGCCACATTCGATGTGCAAGCATATGCGATCTGCAAGCATATGCGATATGCAAGCATATGCGATCATAGCTATGCTATGCTACGCTATGCTATGCTACGCTATGCGATATGCTACGCTATGCGATATGCTATGCTACGCTATGCGATATGCAAGCATATGCGATCATAGCTATGCTATGCTACGCTATGCTACGCTATGCTATGCTACGCTATGCTACGCTATGCTATGCTACGCTATGCTACGCTATGCTACGCTATGCTACGCTATGCTACGCTATGCTACACTATGCTACGGAGCTACGGCCCACTCGCGCGAACAGCGCGCTCTAGCGTCCGGGGTAAGGGGGACACCCCGGACGACACGCTCGCTCCCTACGGGAAGGAATGGGGAGCCGCCCACCAATGCATGGAGCCCCCTGCGGGTTCGACTCCCGCGCGAGCGCTTCACACTGCCCGACAGGCTAAGTTTGCGTGCTAGCCTCCGCAAGCTTAATTTTCTTCCGCCTTCGTATACTTTACTTCTTGTGTGTGTGAGAGCGCG